GCTTCTACACCACTTATGACCAATTCAACTTTTGAATTGATTTTTGGTTCACTTTGCTTTACTTTTCCAGATCCGAATAGAACTTATCTAGATTTTTTCTTGGTTTCTTCACCTTTTTTCTTTGATTGTTTCTTTCAGCTTTTGTTCTTTTAACTTTTTAATACGGAGTAATTTTTTTCATTCGATCATGTCAATTAAATTTTTCTGACTTCAAATTAATTTTTTGATTTAAATTTCCATAACTGCTAGTTTTTATGGCATTAAAACGAAAATATTACTCCTTTGCAAAAACAATACTATTAATGCCATAATTTTCTACTTTTTTATATGGCTATTATTTTTGACATTAATGCCATTTTTATGACATTAATTTCATCCACATGGCAAAATTAATTTTCTGCTTTTTTATGACATTAATGCCATTTTTATGACATTAATTCCATCCACACTAATGCCATTTTTTGACATTAATGCCATTGTTATGACATTAATTCCATCCACATGGCAAAAACATTACCTATAATGCCATGTTTTTTCATGTATAAAAATGTTATTTCTGGGCAAAAACAATATTATTAATGCCATATTTTTTCATGTATAAAAGTGTTATTTCTGCACATAGTGCCATTTTTATGACACTAACTCTGTAGAGATGACAAAATTATTTCCTCGTAAATCAAATATTTATAATACCATGAAAATGTCAAAATGGCACAAAATTCTTGTCCTCTATTTTTATATAAATCTCATTAAAAAGGTACTCAAATAGGTAGATGACATTTTAATACATTTTTTCAGATCTGAAATATGTGATGGTGGTGGTCCAGCCAAAGGTGGTTGAGCCAAAGGTGGTGGTGGTTGAGGTGGTGCGGCGGTGATGCAGATGGTGGCGCCGACGACCGGTAGTAACGGCAGAGGCACCTGACAACTGTGACACCGCTGGAGCAGCAATGACGACGGAGATTACGGTGACTGGCGGTGGCCAGCGGTGACCGGCGGCGGCCAGTGGTGACTGACGGTGGTGTACGGCAGTGACTGGAGGCGGCCGATGGCGACTGGTGCAGGTGCTGGGTGGTGGTGCAGGCAAAAAACATTGGACAATTCATTTTTGTGTGCTGACCCTAGTATATTCGTAATAATTAATTATTGTACTCATTAAAGGTACATTTGTCAACTCATTCTCTTTTACTCCTACGAAACTATAAGAATTATTGAAGTCCTATTTTTGCAATTTTGATGTATTTTACGCCTAGATAGGGAATTAACTCTTACTTATACCGTTATACGCATCTTTATATAATGGGCTTGTTTAGTAATTCGCGGTTAGTGATTAGCTGTTAGCGAGTTGTGTTAGTGATTTTGACCAGCAAATTGGTTTGTGACGTGCACTTTGTCGTGTATGCACTCAAAATAATAATCAATACAACACTAATACGTAGTATAGTGTAGTAAGGTTCGTATCCACAGGGAAAGAAATACTTTTCTTTTTATAAAACTAGTAACAAAAAGGGAGGTTTTAGTTTGACTTGGTTTAATTAATTAAACACGGAGATGAACGACTTATGTGGTTTACTTATTAGAGATGAAGACTTGGCTTTGCTTTTATCCACTTAATGAAATGTTCGTCGATCCTGGTTAAATCTTTAACTATTTTCCTCTCGAATACTCAATCGAGGAGTATATCCAGACTCCAGTTCATCGAGGGTAGTTATTAATAACGAGACGCGTTCATTAATAAAACTTACTACCGAGTTAATATAGAACACGCGCCGTATATTAACCCGATAGTAGCAATAAAATCAAGATGAAAACGATTGAGATTGATAACCTCAACACAAGCGGTTTATTGGTTTAATCAACATAATTAATTCCCCTTGGTTTGTTAACCATGAATCGCATGCATTAATAACCCAAGTTACTACCGTGAAACGATCGGACGATTAACAAGCGTATTCGTCGATCGATTCTAGTAATAATTAATATATGAAACAAAACTAGTTGATCCTTTAAGTAATGTTCAAAATATTAATATGAAATATGAATATGAATTAATTAATACTCAAGGAAGAATATTAAAGAAGAGGAATCCTACTATAGTTAATATCAAAATGTTAACTAATTGTCATCTTAGTAACACTTCCCAATATTAACATAGAGGAAGAAATAACTATTACTATAACTAATGTCAAGATGTTAACTAATTGTCATCTTAGTAACACTCCCCAACATTGATATAGAAATAGTACTCAAAGGAAGAATTAATATTCAAAAAAGAAAATTAAAGAGAATAACTCACAACTTACAAATTCATTAAGCTTCAAAGTAGCAAAACCAATATGTAAGAGTTTAGCTCGTCATTTGGAGACTAAACATGATAGAAAATATAAAGAAAACACCAATCTAAACTGAGTTAAAGAGTATATGTGAATTGGTTCCCTTAATGTGAAGCAAATGGGGTGTATTTATAGCAAAATGGAGGTGGCAGGGTTCTGTACTCGATCCAGTATATGGGATACTGGACCGAGTATGATGATATACTGGACCGAGTATGAGAGGAAATTTCCAGGAAATTGTGAAAAATAGGCATACTCGACCGAGTATTGCCAATACTCGACCGAGTATGAGACAAGATTTTCATCAAATCTTCAGCCACGTTCTTTTGCTCCCAGATTTGATTTTGACCAGCGTATCAGGCCAATACTCGACCGAGTATTGGCAATACTCGACCGAATATTTAACAAATTTCAAAATCTTCATTTGATCTTTTCCTTTTTGCACATTCTTTGGTCTTTAGGATCCATCCTTTGATTCTTGGGATGATTTTGACTTGTCCTAAGCTCAATATAATCCTAATCTAAATAAATTACAAATATTTAATGAAAATAAAGTATTACACCAAAAGTGTGTAATTTCTACAACTAGAACTAATAAAACTAGTTAAAAATACAAACATACATAATAGGAAATTCACCCTATCAGTTTGGCGTTTTGACCAGCTGATTAAGGGAGTGTTTGGAAATGCTTTTGCTTAAAAAGAACACTTTTTAAAATGATGTTGAAAAAGTGTTCAGTAGTAAAAGTGAATAGTGTTTGAGAAACAAGTAAGTTTGAAAAGTAAGAGTTGATAGTGTTTGGTAAAATAAGTGCTTTTTGTGTAATAGAAAAGGTAAAAAACACTTTTTTCAGCCAAACATCGAGAAGCCATTTTTTAAGTAGAAGTTGTCACTTGAAAACACTTTTTTTTAGATTTTTATGCCAAAAACCGAGAAGCGCTTTTTTTAAGTGTTTGGACATAGTTTTTTCTAGTTAAGTTACATATAAAATGGTTGCATCAGAATTTAGATACCTCTCAAACACCGTCAAGGCGTCAACTAAAAAATATCTCTAAACACATACTCCCTTCGTCCCAAATTGAATTGCAATTTGACTTTTTTGGATCAAAATGACTCATTTTAACCACTTAATTAGGATGTCAATTCTTAATTAAATTTTAATTGGATTTTTCACTATTGTAGAAATTTAACTTTAACATTGGTTGACAAAAAAAATGCTGACTTTGCAAAACAGTTTGGGACGGAGGCAGTGAAAAAATATCTCCGAACAAAAAAAAATCAGACTGCCTATACTTGTAAAAGACCAACACAAAAAAAATGAAATGACCAAAAATAATAAGGCATCTGACTAGATCAAATCCATCCACTAGTGCCGCAACATTTGCGTTTGCCGCAACATTTGCGTTCGATTACCTCTCTAACTCTATGCAATGAAACTTCTTCATTTCTTATCCGAACAGGTACAAATTCATCTAATCTTCTTCTGCGTGGGTGTGAGAACATGTAGATAACAATTTTCATACATCTCCACAAACCTTCACCGGATCTTTCGCTAAGCGCATCAACAATATTGCAGCCTCCAGTTCTCCACCGATCTAAGGGCTAGGCAAACTCTTGTGCAGATTAAGCAAAACGGCCAAACTCAAACGTTGCTCCAACCAGTGTGTTGAGATTTGACGTTTTGGAACAAAAATGTGACTCCCCTCCACTATCTACAGAACACCTCATTTAGCGGTTTGACCAAAATCAAAATGCAAATATCTGTTGTCCTATTGAAACGTCAAAACGGATGATCCGTCGTTTCCCAAACACGGCCAATATAAAGTAACAGAGTTGGGGCAATAACTGAAGAGAAAATTCCAGCCCAAAAAAAGGGTATAATGGAAAATAATTAATGTGAAATGTAAAATGAAATCTCGCCTGTCCAATTAAGGAGTGCATTGTTGAAAGAATGTAAAAATGGTAAGATGAATCATCTATTGTCTATCCAAATGAAAGTATAGCAGGATGAAGCAATTTTTAAAAGGTATAATACCCGAATTATTCGGGAATCCATCTCCTTTCCAACCTTCAGGAATAATCAAAGTAGTTTTGCCCTGAATTCCAATATCTACCAAACGGATAAACCTTCGATGTCGATTTTTATCAAAAGACAAATGAATTTTTCTGGAATTTTTCATATCTTGTAAAAGTCCAAGAAGACCCCGATAGAATTTGACCAAAAGATTTACAAAACCAAGTGAAGCACTCTTCATTTAGTGAAATAGATCGAAATTGATCGTTCTTCATTTGACTTAGGGGTGTTTGGATCTGATTCTGCTTCTGCTTTTTTTTTAAACAGAAGCAGAATCAGAATCAGTTTTCAGAAGCTGGTACCCCCCAACTTCTGAAAAAACTGATTCTGAGAGTAAATTAGAGCACCAAAAATGTTTCTGGAATTTCACTCAAACACTTCAAAAACAGCTTATGCTCATGCTCTCTGAAGGAGCAGAATCAGTTTTGAGAATCAGATCCAAACACCCCTTATACGGATACCTGAGGATTCCACACCAAAATCAAATACGGAGTATTTTACTTTCAATTCTCACAAAGGAGGGTGATCCACCTCTGCCAAATTTTCCAAATCTCCACCTATTTGCAGCTTCATACGGAGAATCATCCCTTGCCGGTACTTCAATCTTCTGGAAATCGCCTGAATAACTTCGATCTCTCCCTTGCCGGAACTGAGGTAATTCTCCAACCTTTCTCTATTAATTTCTCTTCCGCAGAGGAGTTTGTCGTCTAAATTCCATCGATTGCATGTCAATGCGACACCCGTGTCGTGGATTCCAGGCAGATCGAGGCGAAGTCAGCCCTCTGCAGTACCATCCCGTTGTAGAAGATGGCACTCTGTACTTTCCTGAGCTCAATCCCTCTGAAATCTGACCGAACTGAGTTCGTCGACCTATAGGGTTTTCTCCTCTGAAATTTCGCTGCTGTGAAATCTGAAGCTTCAGTCTGGATCCATAAATAACATCCCTCTGTTGCCGAGACCAACCAGAGCAGATTGGCAATACTGCCTCAAACCCCTGCCGCGGCGCCCGATTAGAGATGGCGTACATCCCCGGCCCTTCTGCCCTCTTCAAGTTATGTGTGTATTCTGCTTAGATTAATCACTTAAAAGCTAAAAACTGAAAGCGGATGAAATGCTGCTTTAAATCTATGTTTAAAAAACCGACCCAACCCGGCCGGGTTGACCCGGAACGCGGTGACCCGGACAAAAATCCGGTTCGGTTTCTTCAAAATCCGAAAATGGTCAAAAACCGGAAAAACCCGGCTGACCCGAAAAAATCCGATCCGGACCTGACCCAAGAAACCCGAAAAACCCGGTTTTCGGTCTTTTCCAAAAAAAAAGTAATTTCTTTTTTAATTTTAATGCATTTTTTAAACCAATAAAATCGCAATTTCAATTCCCTAAAAAGAAAAACTGTGTAATATATTTATATATTTATTTAAGAATGAAAATCATGCCAAATTATAATATAAATGTACAATACAAATAAAAATATATAATGAGAGTGTATATAATTATATGTTTATTATTATATAGACGTATAATCGTTGACCGGTTTTCCGGCTTTGACCGGGTTGACCCTCCGGGTCCGGGTTGACCCGTGACCCAGTCACATGACCGGGTCGCTCACCGGTCCGGTTTTTACAACATAGCTTTAAATTGCTTTTCACTTTTTCTATTAAACAAAAATTACTTATTTTACCAAACACTGACAACTTTTACTTTTTCAGAATTAATTTTTTTCAAACACTACCAACTTTTACTATCAAGTACTTTCTCCAAAATCACTTTAAAAATCATTTTAAGTAGAAGCAGTCGTAAAAACTCCCTAACTTTTCTCAAAAAACGCTTATTTGGAGAGTTTTAACGAGTTTTTGAAAAACTTATTCTTTTCCAAGAGTTTGGGTGCTACATAGATTTTCTCTAGAGACAGACATACTGCTTATACATACAAACTCAAAATGAACCCAAAAATAGATACGCCAACCATTTCTGATTATCAGTGCGAAAAAAGAGTCAATAGCACATAAAGTTTGAACTGAACACAAAAGAATATAGGAGTGGGGCCACTGTAGTGTATAAATCTGAGAAGTAATACTTCAACTCTTCAAGTCCTCTTCAGCTAAACTCTCTACGGAAAAAAGCAATTTAAGGAAAATGAGATCTGCTTCGTCTCATGCTTTCTTCCTCATTGTCCTCCTCGGAATCTTCGCATGCATATTCAAGAAGATTCTCCGGACGTTTCCGAGGTCGGTCATCCTAAACCACGTCGTTTCAACAGCGACACAGCTGAAACTGTCTTGGGATTGTCTCCTCTTACACTCCATCTGCCATGCACCCGCCTCCCCCTACAAATTCAGCCGCTCATCCGTCGCCGGACATTCGACGGAGAACGCTGCGTCTGGGCTCGGCGTAAGGGTTTTCGAGGGGAGATCCGGCGGAGAGACGGAGCCGCCGGAATGCCCGATTTGTTTGTGTGGGATAGAAGACGGAGAGGAGGTGAGGGAGCTGAGGTGTCAACATGTTTTCCACGTGGCTTGTTTGGATAGGTGGCTTGGAACTGGCCGTATGACGTGTCCTCTTTGCCGGAGCCACGTCAAGACAACGGGCCCACCCCTTGGTCAACTTCAGGATGACGTCATCGTCTTCGATTTCTTCTCCAGACGGCGAGATGAATGCATGTGGTGGATAAGGTGATGATTAGACAAGATCACAAGAGTCAAAATATGTCAACTGGATTCATTCATTGTATATTTGTATTTATACTTGCTAGTATTTAAGTCTAGTGGGTTTAAGGGGAAAATGGCGAAATTGCCATTTCCATCATTAGTTATTTTTATTAGATTCGTTATTTTTATTAAAATATCCTTCTATTTGGATTATATCTTCACCATACTTGTCAACATCCGGTGATAACTCGGGCAGCCTTTTAAAAATTGGGATACCGTATCTACCATTCATTTGATTAGACCACATCATTTTATCATTTTTAATTTAGATTTAAATAATTCAACTGCAATATTATCATTGGTCTATGTGGACAAAAGTATGATACCTTGTGCGTACCATAGAATCTACCTATTTATTATTCTTTGAATTTTATTGGATCTTTTGAAGGGTTAAATCTCATCTTTAATTAATTTGCCACAAATTGTTCATTATAGTTAACCATTGGAGTGAAAATTAAAAATGGAAAGTGGATTAATGAATATAACAAGAAAGCTAGAGAGTATATATAATGTTATATAATTGACGTGCCAAAAAATTCATTATGTCATTGCTCTCTTAATTACTTTGGCATCATTCTTGTCATTAGCAGTACCAATCTTATGGAAAAGACCATTTTATATATGAATAGCCTATTCACAGACAAAAAGAATGGATGCATGATATGTAAATCTTATCCAGTTAGAATGATTAATGAGTAGTATAGAATATAGGGAGTAATTTTGATTACAATCAGATACGGAGTAGAACAATACACCCTATCAAGTATTTTTGATAGGGTAATTTTGATTACCTTGATTTGCAAATAAACGGATTCATCTTATCATTCTTATGCAGTTAATTAGGATATCAAAATTTAATGATATTCAAATTTGAATTTTGTAACATTATACAAATTTTTGGTCATAAAAAACATTATACAAATTTAACTTTAGTTCCCGAATATGTAAATTTTATGGAGTAATTATTAAAATTGAATTAAATGTTAATAGAAAGGATAACGTTGGTTAGTCCAAAAATGTTGGTTTTCCTAATCAGTTTTAGATGAGCTAGTAATACAAAAAAAACGTAATGACATTCTCTTTAGTTTTTAGTGCAAATTACCCGTCCCAATTTGAGTGTAACATATCATTTATATCACCACTATTTTTTCTTTTCATTTTTAAACTTTTCTATTTTCAGTTTTGAATTTTTATTTCACTTTTGGACTATTTTGCCGACTCCTCCATATCGATCGCCCTCCAGATCCACCGAAAACATCTCTTCCTCTCATATTCTTCTCTTCCAACTCGCGGCCATGATTTTCAGACCTTTCGCCCCCGTTATTCTCTCGTTTCTTCGATCTTCGATCCTCCGGCTCTAGCCTCTATCAAATCCTTCGACTTCCCAACCTGACACAACTGCTAGTCATCCCACCAACTCAGAGGTCGCCTCTTATCCCGAAAACATCATAGCCCTGCTCACCGACTGCTAGCCTAGACTCCTTGATGACGAACAAAATCAAGCAAAAGGTAGTTCAATTCTTTCTAATTTGACCGCCATCTACCTGAATACCTCTGACTTAATATTACAGAGGAACCCCGCCTGATGTGATCCCTCTGCGTCTTCGTGACCTCATAGCTCACGCCTCTACAGCAATCGAGCTGTGGATGAGATGACCTGCTTCTATCAGGTTGGGTCCCTGTGGATACCACGATGATCGATCACTCATGTCGGAGGTTCGGTCGCCAAAACTGGATAAGGAGATGGGAGAGGAGTAAAACTCGTCGCTAATAGTCAATTAGTCACCGCCCGTAGTATTTGGTAGTTCATTTTGATTGCTTTACAAAACTCATGTGAATATTGATGCATATAGTATTTGGTAGTTCATTTTGGTTGCTTTACAAAACTCAGGTGAGTATCTCGGTAATTTTCCTGATATTGAATATTGATGCCTTCTTACATTCTCAAATTAGGTGACTTCATATGAAAATAATTATTATTTTTTCTTTGATTGTATTGTCTTTTATGTGGAATTATTGAAACTTTACTTGTGCATTTTGACATATTTAATCTTACTTTGTTGAGTACATCTGAAACTTGTGGTATTCTTGTTTGTTCATTAGTGAGAAGTTTCATAAGTTCTATAGTCATATACTATGTATTATAAATTTATAATTTCATCGGCTTATTTATCCTTTAACTCCCTTTAGAATTAAACAAAGGCTTGGTGTCTTTTTTAATTAACCATAGTACAGGGGCATACCAGCTGAGATGAGCAGGGAAATGCTATTGTCATCATACTGAAAGCAGTATGACAGCCTTGATGATTTTAAAGTCTCATAAATCAAAGAGATACAATCTTGCAAATATTGTGTTGCAGAGGAATGCAATTGGGATTGTCAATATTGGTGACTTTGGCTTCATCGAAAGAAAGAGGTAATCAAAAGAAAGCGCCTATATCCGTGTTTGCAGATCTACTTCATTTGTGCTTGTGAAAGTGCATGTAGTGTGAGTTTTTTAATCTCTTTGAATGTTTTAATGTTCATAGTTTTTATGCCAAATATAATGTTGAGTACATTGGATATGCAATTTACACTTGATAAATGAGCTCATAAGTCTTGTGCTCTATGGTGCTATTAAAAGTAAGAACATGTTTGTATTAGTTGTGGTATGTGATATGCCAAATTCTATGTTTCATACATAGTATATTTTTCGTATTCTTTATCCTCTAGTTGTAGATATAATGTGGTGCATCAGTCACATGTGTAATGATTCATGGTAATAATTTATTCTAAATTTGTGTGTTAATGATTGCATTCTCATTACAGGTGCATATTAAAAAGATGTACATGAAGATGTAAAGCTGAGAAGAAAGATGAGGAAAATAAAGAAAAGGGATAAATTGTGTGTTGAGATACAACATAAAAGAAAGAAGAAATTAGAAAAACCAGAGCCAAATGATGTACTACAGAGATGTAATAAATTGAAATGATAGATTGGACTATATATTGTTGTATATTGTTGTAATATTTTATGTGTTATTTTTTTGTTGCTTTTTGTTGCTTTTTGTTGTTTTTTGTTGCATATTGTTGCTTAGGGTTGTTTACCGTTTATTTTTATTTTGGTTGCTTATTTAAGTTTATGTTTATCTTTGCTGCTTACTTGAAATAAATATATAACAAGAAGAAACATGATGAAACACAAAAAACTAAATATTCAAAGTTATCAACAACAAAAAACATGATGAAACAGTAAAAAACAAAGGTGTCAACAAAAAAAACACAAAAAGATAATTATAGTAATTTTAGTTATGTTTGATTTTTCAGATATTGTTTTGACTTTTATTTTTAAAATTCTTATCAATTTATTTGCATTTTAATTTTTTTGTATTTATTTGGATTTATTTTGAATTAATGAACACCAACAACAAGAAACATGATGAAACAGTAAAAAACAAAAATCAACAAATACAAACACAAGAAACAATAAAAAATGAAAATAACTACAAAATGATAATTATAGTAATTCTTGCTCTTTTTTATTTTTCAGATAACTTTTTGACTTTTATTTTATTTTTAATTTTTTTGTATTTATTAGCATTTTTAAAAATATTTTTTAGTTTTCTTAATTTTTGCTTCATTAAAGAGTTCTAAATATTTTCATATTTTGTAATTTTTTGAAACATATTTGTTTTACTATTTATGTATTACTTTTAATAATTTTTAGATGCACAATTTTAAATTTGATTTATATTTTGGTCAAATTTTGAATTTTTGTCTATTTTTACATTTTTATATGTTTAAATACTTGGAAAAATGGAAACTAATAATCCAACCTTTTAGCGGTCTTCTTTCAATAATCGCACCTTTTGATTATTCATGAATAATCCAACCTTTGCACCTCATCTTCATTCATTGGTCCCTGGTCGGTTAATGACCTACTATTCCAAGTTATTTTCTTATCTTTGCAAAATATTATCTTTGTGAAAGATGAGATTTATGGTATAATGATTTGCAAAGATAAGAAAATAGCTTGGAATAGCAGGTCATCAACCGGTCAGGGACCAGTGAATGAAAATGAGGTGCAAAGGTTGGATTATTCATGAATAACCAAAAGGTTGGATTATTGTAAGAAGAACGCTAAAAGGTTAGATTATTAGTTTCCATTTTCCCTAAATACTTTTCTTTTTGTTTTTTTGTTTGTTAATTTTATTTAAAAAATCTGGTTTTTATATATTTAACCGTTATATACGGAGTATATGAACTCTACAGAATTACATTACAAAAAAATGTTATTTTAACAACTTTCTCACATTTCTGAGTTCTGTATTATTAAAATCGCTATACATTTTTTCTTTTTAAGATTTATTTTTAATATTTAAATTCCTTTTCAATTTTTAATATTTAGTTTGCATTTTCAAGTTTGAATTTTATATTCTTCTTTTCTTAGTTTTGGTTATATTTTTTAGATTTTTCTTGTAATTATATTCATTTTTGTTTGTGTTTTTTTTTTTTTTTTACATTTTTGGACATTTTTTGACAACAATATATTTTTTGGACTTACAAACAGGAATTAAGCAATTATTGGATTTGTACTTATGAGAGAGTATACCGAGATGGAGCCGTACGTGTATGCATTAGACTGATTGCAACCGAGGGGGTGAAAACCCCAAATGTGAGGTTTTCACCCCAAAAACTACCGCAACCCCGACATTTTTTTTTGTATAGAGAGGTCTCATTGACAATAGGGGAAACTGAGGGGAGGGGTTTCTGGGCGGTGCATTGACTTCGCAGTTGGAGTTGACATGCGTAGTGGGCCATTATCCCAGCAAGTCGGCTGAATTCTGCAGGAGGAAAGGTAAGGTCCAGATTTGTGCGTGAGCTTCCACATGCTTTTGTGCGGCTGGTGGGAGTAAAAACCTACTCTGAATAATTCAACTTGGGACTTGGGAGTACTCTCAACTTGGCTGCAGCTTTGGAGAATGGAAATAATTCCAAATAAATTGGTAGTTTTAAATTTGTAGTGTTAAACAATTCCAAATAATTCCAATATTTGTAATACCAAATCATTACAAAACATTTACTAGTTTTAAATTTATTTCAAATTAAATTCAAGTATGCGTTTTTAATACTTACTAAAAAAATTAATTAAAATTTTTAATTTTTTTACATCTGAATGTTTGAGTTTTTAACCAATAATTATTGATCAAAATAAAATTAGCACATAAATGATGTGTAATAAAATAACTAAGGATCTATGCATTTAATTAAAAAAATGTGTTGAGTGATATATTGACGGTGTTGGGTTACAGGAAAAAACTAAATTGATAGAGTGAATACATATAAACTGGAGGAGAATTAGATTTATTGACAGGCTTGGGTTGCAGTTAGCCTTAGACTGATTGCAACCGAGGGGGTGAAAACCCCAAATGTGAGGTTTTCACCGCAAAAACTACTGCAACCCAGACATTTTTATGTATAGAGAGGTCTCATTGACAATAGGGGAAACTGAGGGGAGGGGTATCTGGGCAGTGCATTAACTCCGCAGTTAGAGTTGACATGTGCAGTGGGCCATCATCCCAGCAAGTCGGCTGAATTCTGCAGGAGGAAAGGTAAGGTCCAGATTTGTGCGTGAGCTTCCACATGCTTTTGTGCGGCTGGTGGGAGTAAAAACCTACTCTGAATGAATAATTCAACTTGGGACTTGGGAGTACTCTCAACTTGGGACTTGGGAAATAATTCCAAATAAATTGGTAGTTTTAAATTTGTAGTTTTAAACATTTCCTAATAATTCCAATATTTGTAATTCCAAATAATTACAAAACATTTACTAGTTTTAAATTTATTTCAAATTAAATTCAAGTATGCATTTTTAATACTTACTAAAAAAATTAATTAAATTTTTTAATTTTTTTACATCGGAATGTTTGATTTTTTAAACAATAATTATTGATCAAAATAAAATTAGCACATAAATGATGTGTAATAAAATAACTAAGGATCTATGCATTTAATTAAAAAAATGTGCTGAGTGGATATATGACGGTGTTGGGTTGCAGGGAAAAACTAAATTCATAGAGTGGATACGTATAAACTAGAGGGGAATTAGATTTATTGACAGGGTTGGGTTGCAGTTAGCCTTAGACTGATTGCAACCGAGGGGGTGAAAACCCCAAATGTGAGGTTTTCACCCCAAAAACTACTGCAACCCACACATTTTTTTTGTATACAGAGGTCTCATTGACAATAGGGGAAACTGAGGGGAGGGGTTTCTAGGCGGTGCATTGACTCCGCAGTTGGAGTTGACATGCGCAGTGGGCCATCATCCCAGCAAGTCGGCTGAATTCTGTAGGAGGAAAGGTAAGGTCCAGATTTGTGTGTGAGCTTCCACATGCTTTTGTGCGGCTGGTGGGAGTAAAAACCTACTCTGAATAATTCAACTTGGGACTTGGGAGTACTCTCAACTTGGCTGCAGCGTAAGAGAATGGAAATAATTCCAAATAAATTGGTAGTTTTAAACAATTCCAAATAATTCCAATATTTGTAATTCCAAATAATTACAAAACATTTACTAGTTTTAAATTTATTTCAAATTAAATTCAAGTATGCATTTTTAATACTTACTAAAAAAATTAATTAAAATTTTTAATTTTTTTACATCGGAATGTTTGAGTTTTTAAACAATAATTATTGATCAAAATAAAATTAGCATATAAATGATGTGTAATAAAATAACTAAGGATCTATGCATTTAATTAAAAAAAATGTGCTGAGTGGATATATAGACGATGTTAGGTTGCAGGGAAAAACTAAATTGATAGAGTGAATACGTATAAACTGGAGGGGAATTAGATTTATTGACAGACTTGGGTTGCGGTTAGCCTTAGGAAGTTAGGACTTGGGAGTATAAGATTGCAGCAGGTGGAGCGGCACCAGGGGCGGCTTTGGGGCCAGTAGGGCCAGGCAGCTGCCTTGGGCCTCACCTCCAAATGGGGCCTCCAAAGTAAAATTAATAGGAGGTATTAGGTATATGGCCGCAAAATAGAGACCCAAACGGGAATCGAACTCCACACCTGCAATCAAGAATTTCAATTTCCACTCCACTCAAGCTGATAGTACTACATGCCTTTTTATGTTGCTTTTTCGTATTTCTAAATTTCGACTTAAGATATTTTTGTCTGATACTACATTTATTTAGATATGTTAGATACTACGTTATTCATTACTAAAATTTTGTACTTGGTCTCATATTTATACAGAGTGTATTTTCCATTTAAGCCCTAATGTGTTTTATTTTTAGTTAAAACCAATATATTTTGGTATAATAGTATTTTTATTTTTCTTATATTGTATTATCTTTTATTAATTATGAAGTAGTATAATTTTTCTATTTATGAATTTAATTTTACATATGATAATTTTGTACTACATAGTAATTCATATTTTAAACTTTTAAGGTAAATTCATGAATTTCTAGATGTTAAATACTCCGTGATGGTATCAATGGTTTTGCACTTCAAAGGGTGTTAAAAACTTATATAGTTCTTTTGGATGTTACAAACCTTATATAATTCACTTTGGATATGTTTTTTTACATGGCGTTTTCAATTTCTCTGTGTCAATATGATTTGGTGTAGTATAATAAATATTTTTTCGTCTAGGGCCTCGGAAATTCTCAAGCCGCCACTGAGCGGCACATAGCATGGTCTATTTGTGAAAAGCAAAAACCAACTAATCTATATTTGAAAATAAAAAAGTTAACGGGTGACAAAATTGATATTTCTCTCGCATTTAGATTTATTGGCTAAGTTTTCCCTAGTTTTTATTGGGTTGCCTTCCTGTTCAATACGGCCTCTAGCCCGATCGCTGTGATGTACTCCGTAGTACTGTACTTTGTTTTACATTTTTTATTTTTTTTGTTAATTCATTTCCGTAATCTTTGTTGATTTTTTACCCCATCATCAATTATAACTACTACCATTTGACAATAAAATAACTACGTTTAATACATTTTTTGTTGTTCTTTATCATATCACTCAAATGATACTTAATCTTATTTTTTAAAAGGTCATTAAAACCTATTTTAAAAACGTGAATGACTAGTTTTACATTGTTATAATTCGAGTATTAGATTAAAAAATATATAAAGGATATATGTAAAAGTTTCTTGTATATTTATGCAACCGACATTAATTTTTTTAATGGATAAAGTGATCTCGGAATTAGAGATAAAATATAAAGAAAATAGTACATAATATGGGGTTGAACAAAATACGAAAATAAAAGCATATTTAAGTCCTTAAAATAGAGAGTTTTCAAAAACATTATTAAATTAAATTTTATTTATGAAATATGACTAAAGTTATTATGAGTATTAAGTGTAACAATTGAACATAAATTACTACTATGATCACTTGTACTTTATATTTTATAGGTCATCTTTTTATAAGTTAAATACGGAGTAACATTTATTTTGGTCATAAGTATATAATTATTACCCCCATCCATATTCTTTTAAAATATCATAATAATAGGTTAATTCAACATGACTGACAGTTGTAAATAAAGTAGGGGTACTTGACGAGACACTACTATAGTACCATGCGAGAACGTTAAGATTATCGTGTAGATTTCGTGACCCACATGTACGGTACAACCGTACAATCAACAACAATGCTTGGTGCACACATAGTTTGTACACATATTATGTAAACCGTTCCTGGTTGTCTGTCTATCAGGCAGTTTCTTAATTAATGAATTGTTTTATGTACGGACAATTAGGAAGGGGTACACAATGTGTGTACAAACTATGTACCAAACACCATTTTTGTATATTCAATTCACTTTCAAATAATTGAACTTTAGAGCTAAGACCAATCGATATTAGAGGCAATTTTTGTTAAACTGCTAACTACCTATCTTTCGGCAAGATTCTTCATTTATCTTCAAAAGACCATATTTTTATGGGTCAAAATAAATGACCCAACCAAAATAATTTGATGTTTTCTCCTACGTATATATTCTGACGGCACTCCAAATTGGTCCAATATAACTTGTGACGTTACAAATTTACCATAGATTGAAGTGGAAAATATAGGCAACTAGGCTTACGTTAGGTAGCCGTCTCAAACCACAAATATCACAACTAACAGATCGAAAAGAAAATGAATTAATCTTTTTTTGTGAACTTGATGTGAACATTTAAAAACTCACATTATAAATTAATGTGAAGTTGGCGTATAATAAGGTTAACAAACAAATATCAGAAAAGAAAATGAATTATAATGTAGAATCACATTTATCTTAGCTACTACCTATAATAATACTTTTAGAGATTTAATTATAAACATAAATTAGTTGTTGAATCCTAAATAAGAATAATTATTGTCATGTTTTGACATTATAATACCTCACACATGATAGTATATTTCAAGTTTGATAATAATTACTCTTATTAAGGGATTATAAACATGATGGGTCTATTCTGGAATTTCATAACGCTTTACTCCTATCTCGCCATCTCGGGCCTAAAAACTTTCAACTTCTATTTACATTCCGAGTTCATATTTTAATCCTATTTAAGTCTATTTCCCAAACTAGTGTTAGATTTCCTTTGCTGAATTTGGGGTTCAAAACATACCCTAACTAAATGGTAGCCACCCTTCCATATCCTCCAGAGATACTACAGCGCCTCGCATATTTTACAACAAAGAAAGTAATGAGTATATTAATTGAGTTTATCATGATTCCCCCAATACCCTTCATCTCCACATGAGCAACTCCCATCCTTGAAACAATGCAGACCTTCACAATCTCTAACACAAATTTGCCTCCGAACCGCCATTGATATGAACTTTATCATGTCATGGCATCCCCGACAAGTGCAGAGATTCTTAGTGACCGAAATAGGCATCCCGGGAAGAGTATTTATAAGACCATATGCAATGGCCAATCTTTCACTATGCCCACAAAAAAGCTCACCTTTTGCTTCATCCACAGGGTTTCTTTCCACTTTCATTTTATCATAAAAGCTTCTCAGAACCTCGTTTATTTCCTTAATCTGAGGGTGGGAGATATCACCACTGAGGAAAGCATGAACTTTTCCTTTTACCTCTATCCAGCAACAACCTGGATGGAAATCCATCCCTTTTTCTCTCATCAACTTTTTTAGCTTAATAACTTCGTCGCACTTTTCGAAATCGGTATAAAGGCGGGATAAAAGGGTATAATACCCGAAATTTAACTCATCGGCTTCAAGGATGTGTTTAGCAGCAATTTCCCCTAGTTTGAGATTCTTATGGGTCCTGCACGAATTCAACAAAGCTCCCCAAATAGCTGAGTCGGGCATCACAGACATCCTCTGTATAAAATCATAAGCTTCCTCCAATTTCCCAGCCCGACCCAATAGGTCAACCACACAGGCGTAATGCTTCAGGTTCGGTTTGACAACAAATTCAGATTCCATGTTCTTGAAATACTCCAGGCCTTCACTCACCATCCCTGTCCTACTACATGCGCATAACAGGGATAGGAAAGTAATTTCATCAGGCTTTATGTTGGAATCCACCATTCTGCTAAAAAGCTCTACAGCCGGTCTACCTTTCCCGAACCGAGCATAGCCTGTGAGCATAATGTTCCATGCTGAAATGTCGTGCGCCCTCTGCAAATTATTATTAAAAAGATTCATCGCGGGTCCCGTCTTCCCACATCTAATATATAAGTTAAGAAGCGCGTTTGGCAGGAAACCATCAAAGTCCACCCCATTTCTCACGACATATCCATGTATCTCTTTACCAGACATTAAAGCTCCCATTCCAGAACAGGCAGAAAGGGAAGATATAAGAGTGACTGGGTTTGGATCCTTCATTTGGCGAAAGAAAACCAAAGCTTCCAAATCTCGATTGTTAATATGGAGACCCCATATGATAGATGTCCATGATATCACATCCTTTGTAGGAATCTGATGAAACACTTGTAGCGCTTTATCAATATCGCCACACTTTGAATATAAATAAATGAGTGTGTTCGAAACCGTGACATATTTTACAAACCCCATCCCCTCGGCAATCTCATTAAGCTTGATGCCCATTTCAAGAAGCCCAAGTGAAGCACATGCGGTTATCACAGGAACCATTGTTACCTCATCAGGAACGACACCATCCACTTGCATTTTTTCATATGTTTCTATAGCCATTTCGGGCAATCCGTTCTTCTGATAAGCTGAAATCATTGTTGTCCATGTCACCACATCTTTATGCTTCTTAACTCTACCAAAGATTTTTAGTGATTCTCCTAAATTTCCAATGGACGAGTAGAGTTGTATCAGGGAGTTGTACAGTGAAAGTTCTTCCTTATATACAGTTTTAGCCACATAGCCGTGTAAGGACATCCCTAATCTTACGTCACAAACAACCTTACAAGCAGATATTACACTTGTCAGGGTTACGAGATCTGGACAAAAACCAGACTCTCTCATTAAGAAGAACAACGTCAAACCTTCGGAGTACTCCATGTTCTCAAAATACCCAGATATGGTAGCATTCCATGATATCGTATCTCTGAGCGGCATTTCATCAAACAGCTTCCTGGCAGGAGCTATCTCGCCACATTTCATATACATGCTAATCATTGCATTGACAACATCAATATTAGAGAAAATTCCGAACCTTGCCACATGAGCATGTATGTGCCTACCCATGTTCAAATCTGGCATCCTACCGCAAATGCTCAACACACAGGTCAGAGTATAGACATCAGGTCTGCCTCCTCCCACCCACAACATCCGATTATAGAGATCCAGAGCCTCCTCAAAGTATCCATTTTTCGAGTACCCGCCAATCAAAACATTCCAAGAGAACACGTCCCTCTCATGCATTTTCCCAAACACGTACCAGGCATCTCCTAAATTCCGCAACTTGACAAGCATGCTCAGCAAAGAATTCCCGAGCCTCAGGCTTAACTGGGACATCAACTTCAGAACAAGAGAACAAACAAGAGAGCCATGTTTCGAAGCTCTTTGGAATTCGCAAAGCTTGATCAAAGAGACAAAGATATGTTCTTCGATATCCTGATGAATATCTTTCCGGGAGATTAAGAAGCTGAGGGCTTGGTCTAGCTGGCTTTGGAGGCAGAGGTGGGAGAGGTGGGCGATTGGGTCGGTGGAGGAAGGAGAGCTGCCGAAGGTGGAATTATTATTTAGTTGGGATTTGATTAGAAAAAACTTGTGGGGTTTTCGGGACAGAGAGAAGTCGAGTTCTTTGAGCTTGGAAAAGTGCGGGCGGGGGTGGTCAAGCTTAACGCCGGTGATCGGTGGGTTAGCTGCTACCGCCATAATTGGACGGACTTATCCCGGCGGCGCCGGGCCGCGCCGGAGTATTAATTAAAAGGGGTTGAAGTACGAAGTAACGGGAGTCTTAGACAACCGCCTTTTACAAATATACCCGCCTTTTACTCCAAATTACTTTTTGAAACTAAACTAATGTCCCATGCAATGATGCAATATTGCAATACACTCCGTATAAAAATGTGAATATTTATTCAAATCTATTCCATTAATTTTTTATTTTCCCACTTTATCTTTGTATTTATCATTTTATTCTTTACTTTTCATAAATTCATCTTACTTTTACTTAGTTTTTTGAAGTTAGAGTAGTAAAATCAACAATTTTTATTTTATGTAAAAAAAATGCACTAAATTCACATATACTTTTTCTGTGTTACTTTAGTTATTCTAATTTTCTTTTTGAGATGTATGGAGTATCAAATTAATTGTCTCATTTATCTTTTTGGAAAGAAACCCACCCAAAATACAGCTACAATACCGTTACATGACTAAAAATCTCACACTTTTCATAAAGTCTACAATAATTATTCTAAAGTACGTGAAAGGCTATCGGAACAACTAAAGTGATACACGGAGGGAGTAGGGCTGTTAACGAACCGAGCTTTTATCGAAATATTCGAGTTCGAGCTCGGTTTCGAACCTAACAAGCCGAGCTTTCGAACTCGAACCCGAGCTGAGTTTTAAGTTCAAAAAATTAATAGAGCCGAGCTCAAACATAGTGGTATTCGGCTCGATTCGAACTCGAGCCTATCAAACACCTTGAAATTATAAATATAATTTATATATAATCAAAATTTAATTATAATTAGTATGATTTTATGAATTTAAATATGTTTATTAACAAATCGAATACTTGTCGAATCATTCAAGCACAAGTCTATTAACGAGCATCACCTAAAATTTTAAATTTGACCATATTTATCGAGCTTATCGAGCGCTCAGTTCGAACGCCTATCAAGCCGAACACGAGCCTCATTTGTAAAGTTCGCCGAGCTTCGAGCTCAAACCCGAACACCATTAATTCCTTATCGAGCCGAACTCGAGCTTTAGGTGCTCGGGCTCAGCTCGACTCGTTAACAACCCTAGGAGGGAGTATCTAACATTATTCGACAAAGGAAGTAACTTATGACAATGATATACTCTGGATGGTTTCACCGACCTGGAGGTGGTAAAACCGATGGAGACTCGTAGAATATGGAAAGTGTAAGTCGAATAGGAAATTTGATAGAGTAACAAGTTGAAATATAAAAAATATGGAAAGTGTAAGTCGAATACAAAATTTGATAGAGTAACAAGTTGGAATATAAAAAGTTTGATCTCTCACAAGTTGAAAGATGATACTTTTGGGGACAATTACCCATCCTATAATTTTCTCCTTAAAACAGTTTGAAATTCGTACCACCCAAAAGACATTTTCAAAACAAATAACCTACAACAGAACAATTAAACAAGACATCAACAGATTCAACACCATAAAATTCTACATTCATATCACATCATAAAATCCCAAAACTATTTCCCATCAACCCTGCTATAGGTACCCCATTTTGTACCCCAATTTATACCTCAACATATTTTTGTGGTTCACAAAAGCCCACTTCAATAAATGAATTGCTCTACTTTAATGAGCTGCTTTTGTGAGACACAAAAATAAGGTGGGGATACAAATTAGAGTACCTTTAGCATTTTTGATTTCCCATTACCTACTTATCACTTTTTATTCACAAGCCATCGCCATATTACATGCGAAGTTATAAGTTTATAACATTAATACCAAACTCGCCTTGACAAGAAGGGGAAGGTTTCTGGAGTATTACTTTGTCACTAATACGACTAGTAAAAGCCTTTGTAGTTCAAGATTCTGAAAAAGCACTCAGTACATACTTCAGTAGTATGTAAACACTTTCTAACAAAAAGTTGTGCGTGTGTTCAAGCACTTTCTAGGCAAGTAGTTTAACTAAAGAAGGCATAAAGATATAAGGGACAAGGAGAAAGTGTTTGGTTCAATCACAGTAAAGATAGATGAGACCATCCAGATCTGAGAGTGGGAAACCATTCACTACAAGCAACCATTTTGTGTTCTTTGATGGATGGTTCTCAAAAAGATTTCAAAGATTCCGTTTTTTCTCATCTTCTTTCACTTTCCATTGATTTTCCTACCAGAGCTTCTTTGCCAGGAAATCCATTCCCAAAAACTGCTCCTTTTCCAACTTCTCTTGACTCCTTCATCGGATGAATTTCCCCTCCCTGTAAATCTGCAGGAACCAAATGCCATTCTGTTACCAGCAGAAGAGGAGTCACGGTCTGATGATAAATTGCCTAGCCTCCTTAGTGATGAAGAAAGGTCGAGCTTTATGTCGATGAAGGATGCTGCTGATTCATCAGCCATGGAACTAGTGAAAGAATCGCTCTCTTTTGCAGGGAAGACACTTCGGGGATACGGGAAGCTTCCCGTGTTCTCAGGGCGATCACCTCTAAACCCGCTCTTCCTTGCCTCCTCGGAATCAAACAAAAACCCACCCGTGACATCTGAAATCTTTGCGCTGGAGAATCTATACTGATCCGACCACCCATCGTCTCTCAAGCTGCAAACAGACCTTGACCTTGACACGCGCATTTCGTCGAACGCCTGGTGATCGTTGTCTGAGCAACTCTTCTCCCTTCTTTTCATGTTTCCGAACAGCCTCTTGATCTTCCGGAACCCATTGCTGCTTTTCTTGATCTCAGCACAGTTGCTGCTGCTCCGGCGAAGAACGGACACTTCCTCTGTTTTATCCCTCTTCCCCTTCGCTGGCGCCTTCCACTGATCCAGACCGATCTCATTCTCCATCAGGAATGAGATCCGGGGAGCCGAAATATCAGAGCAAGAACACGAAGAGAGTCGATGTTCTCCGCAATCCGAGCAGACCAGATTCAAAAGCCTGTCTTTCAGGCAGTGAGGGCAGATTCCAATAGACGAAGCTGAAGGGTGTATCTTGCATGCAATTTCGGGAGAAGCATAGAAGTCGAACTCTGAGATGTTATTTCGGCAGGAAGAGGCGGCATTAATCTCCACAGATTTCCCCCTTTCTCTCATTGCTTTGATTCTAATTTACAAATTAAATAATCCCGCAGCGAAGGGTTTTTTCTTTGTTTGTTGTATGAGCAGGAATAGAAACAGAGTAAGAAAAATGGATGAAGAAAGATGGATATGATGGAAGGGATTTGGGAGTGGGTGAGAATGGGCAGACGTTAAGTTTACGCTTTGTTGTGGGGAAGAAACAGTAGTGGTGATTGAAAGGGCGGCGAAAGTGTGTCTCTCTGTCTCTGTCTGCACGCATCATTGAGTCGAGTTCAGGAATGCAAAAATCAAATGTTCCATCACTTCCGTCTAGGACCGGGACTTTGGAACCAAGAACTGGAGAATCGAACCGGACCGAATCATTATGATCCGGTTCGGTTCGGTTCCAACATTTATTATTTATTTATTAACGATTCGGTTCCTATTTCTTATTAACGGTTCGATTCTCGGTTCTTGAAAAAAAAATATACCAGGAACCGTTAAGGAACCGTTATACATAATAATTAAAATTATATATATTTCTTATGAGTATATATATTTTAATGTATATTTACTTATTTATTTTTATATAACATTCATTATTTTAGTTTAGTTTTTTAACTATTATATTCACTTCAACCGATACTCCTAGACTTCTTAGGCCTCTCATTCAGTCCAAACTCCAGCGGGTCGGAACTCGGAAGGTCCAAACTATTTAAAATTATTATTCTCTTTAACCGGTTCAATATATTTGTATTGTAATTTCAAACGTTGAATGTCGTTTTGGCAAAAATTTACCCGTGATTTGTAAGAATTATTTTAAAGACTAGGAACCGTTAAATGACAAGAACCGAACCGTTAAGAACGGTTCGGTTCCTTATCGTGTCTATAAAATAGTTTATAAGAACCGAACCGTTAGTAAAATTTCATATTTTCAAACGGTTCCACATATTTTGCCTAGGAACCGAACCGATCCCAGACCTACTTCCGTCAACTAGTTTTGCTATATGTGTACACCTTTTGTATTTCGCAGACAAGTTGTTGTCACAGACAACTCATCAAGTTGTCTGTCATTGAGTTGTTTGTGAAAGACAACTTCTTTGCGAAGGACAGAAAAGTGTACACAGAAAGTGTACACATTTTGTATACACCAAGCATTTTTCATTTTAAAAATGCTTAAATACGTAGTATTTTTAATCCCTTCGAAACCCTATATATCCCCCCTATTTTAAAAATTGTTAGTACTTCTTCCATTCTATATTTAATTATTTATCTCTTGAAATACAAATGGAACAAGATTAAGATAAATAGTATTGTATGGTAAGGAATTGTGCAAAAAAGGGAATGTAAAAAATGATATAAACCACATTTTTTTTGTCAAATAAAAAAAGATAATTTTGGAGGGAACGAAAAAAGAAAGTTTGATGATAATTCCAGGACAGGGAAAATACTACGTTTTGGAAGATTATGTAAGGAAAAATAATTGAAGTACTGAATAAAAAAACGTGGAAAATAGAATATAAAAATATGAGAGAGAAAATAAAATGTAAAAGAAATAAGAGTAATTAAGTATTTTTATAAGAAAACTTACAAATAATAAATAATCAGCATACAGAAAAGCTTCGGCTCTTTCTCTCTCTAGGGTGGGTTTCCATCGCTAGAGTTTTTTCCTCCGCTATCGTTTTTAACAAGGAGCGGCTGCCGTAGGCGGGCATAGGCGTACAGGGTTTCTTCTTCCGCCATCAATTGTGCGGCGATTTTTCTTCTTTTGCTATGGCGAGATTAAGCGGATGGAAGAGGGTGTTTGGTCTCAGGCGGCCAAAGGTTGTGCAGGGACGAAAGATGGATGTTTGGTCTCCGGTGGCCAAAGATCATGGACGAAGTGTGGGGCTAGATGCTGGAACAGATCTAGATTCAAGGTCATCTGTGTTAGGTGGCTACAAAGGAGGCTTGGTAGAGAACATGATGAAGAAGAGGCAATATGAGGAAGAAGTTACAGTACGGCTGGATCATCCCCCTCCTGAACCGCCATCGTGGAGTGCAGGAGAGTCTATGGTTTGGAAGCATCTTTTTAATTTTACTGTTTGCTTGTGATTTATTTTTCATGATCAGACTGCTTATTTTTCTGTTGATTAATTTTATTATTGTGAGACTCTTGCATTAGGATTGGATGATGGGAGGTCTGCTTTAACCGTCTTTAGCACATTTATGCCCATTATACTAATCAACGAGTTATATTGCTTTTTTGAAGGTAATTGACTCTAAGTCTGGTTCGAGGGCTGACGGCTGTCTGTGGTCCTTTTGTCGTTTAACTCCCTATCTGAATGCTAATGTTGTGATATCAATTTGAGTCCCTTCTTAAAAAAAAAAGGAAACTTACAAATAAGAGAAAGTGGTATAGACTTAAAACAAGGTGAAAAAATCATTCATCCTTTAAGACTTTGAAATGTGTTTATTTTTTATAAATGTAATTTGTTTATGTTATTTACGAAGTATTTTTCTCTCTCTCATTCTACTTAACAAACAACGTCTGTTTGACAAGAAAAGAACTTTCCTCAATGTACTCGCTTTTCTTATCATTTTGTCGGGTCATTTAAAAACAATTATCTCTCAAATATTATTTCTGTTCTTAGATAAATGTAACAATCAATTATTCACGTTTGTCAATACATAATTTTGATCATTAGTACTCCGTATATTTTACTCTCTTTTAGTAAAAAAAATCTAAAAAAATCGGATTTTGGAAATTGAGGATGAAACAAATTTAACAATTTTTTTTAAAAAAAATTATTATTAACTTAATAAATAAAATGTGGTTAAAGTAAAATATGTAAATAGTGTAAAATTTCACATGGTTCATTTATTTAAGAACGGGGTAATATTTCTTAATATTCTTTGCCAAGTCATTCTAAAATTGTGAAATCTCTTTAAGAGAACTGTGACACTTGCTTTATAAATATGAATAATTAATTCCGTTTTGTTTTAACTTCAATGTTGATCTCCAAAAAGTTATAAGAATATGAATTTAAAAGGTTAAAATAGAGTTGTGCAAATGACATTGATTTTTTCTATAATTGCAATTTTCTTGGAGTTAGAGAAGTACAAAAAAGAGGACAAAAGAAAATTATGTTAATTGCAAATAAGAATGAAAAAGATTTGTTTTTTTTGTAGGGTTTAAAAACTGAATATGTCATACTTGCAGAGATTAAGAAAACTTTATTTAAATATATCTAATAATACATTTTAACGGCTTTCTCGAAAATAAACTTACGTATATTTGAAATGGCATGACAAAAAGTGACAGGAAGTATACTATCCTCCGTATCGCATTAGTTACAACATTGTAAATTATATTACACACTATTCATGTACTCTACTTTGACTATATTTTATTTATTCATGTATGTGAATTATTTTTTAAAAAAAAGATAGTTGAATTCATCTCATTATAAAGTTTCATAATCTGATTTTTAATTATTTTTTACTAATACAAAATTAAATATAATGACGGTCAAAGTAGTGCATTGACAAACGTGAAAAGTGAATGTTGGAACTAAAAAAGAACGGGGGAGTATTAATGAAGACTATTTCATTATTAACGGAGGTTGGTAGGATCGTTGAGGAACAAAAGAAAAGTATAAGGATTAATAACAAAAATTTTAGAGGTATCAGCTATGAAGCACAGATATACTTCCCTAGGGTACCGTCTCGGCGTATCCGATACGTTCCCGTATCCGATACTCTAGGATACCCGTACCGTACGTTCCCGGGCCGTATATGCAATTTTTAAAAGTTTCCATTTTTTTGTAATTTTTTGAAAGTTTCTGATACTCGTATCCTGACGGATACCCGTATCAACTTTTTTTTTTTAAAAAATCCCAAAATTTACTTAATAAAATTCTAAAAAAAATGAAAATCTAAAACTACATTTTACTTGGTAATCAAATAATGGGCCTATATGGCTATATCCGAATTAAGTCATTAACTCATACTCTGAATTGGGTACTTGCACTTTTAATTTCAAGATTGTAGTTGTTTGACTTATTTCTCATTTTAAATTAATGACTTATTGACTACATTTATATTTCGAGATACACTAGTGTATATGAGAAATATTATGAATTTATTACTAAGTATCTTGAAAAAGGAAAATGTTTCAATGCAATGAATGAGTAGACATCATAGAATATTATATGTATGTGTGTGTGTGTGTATATATATATATATATATATATATATGTATATATATATATATATATATATATGTATATATATATATATATATATGTATATATATATATATATATATATTCAAAAAAAATCTATTTTTAATATTTATAAATAGACCCCTATAACTTTTAATATTTGTAAATACACCCCCATAACTTTTAATATTTATAAATATGGCCCCGTATCCGTATCCTACTTTTTTTGGTTTTGACGTATCCCCGTACCCGTTTCCGCATTTCCGCGTACCGGTATCGGTGCTACATAGGGTATCAGGTATGTAAAACAAGTGTTGGGATCGTATTCCGTCTCCGGCTTAGGTCTTTTACACAAGACTCACATACACCACACTAGGGGAGGCTATAGCACACCTCTTCTCTAATCTCCACTAAGGACCTCTCACAACTCTCACACCAAGGAAAGGAATAGAAGGGAGCTCTGCTCTCTGGAATACTCACGCAGGCTGCTCAACAAGGAAGACGGCACTAGCTTCATATAGTAGGCTGGCTTACAGAAGGGAAGGTCACGAGTAAGACCAAGACAAGAGAGTCACGGGTGAAGCAAAACAAAGAGCCTCACGGGTTACCAAGACAAGGAGTGCAACAGACAGCAACAGAGGAGGGCCAGCCAAGTAGGTGAGTCAAACACTCAACGGGTATATAATTGATCAGATAATATACCAAGGTAAAAGGTACCAAAGTGTGAGTAAAACATAGGGTGCAAGCCTCAACAGATAAAGTGGAAGGGAGGTCTTGGTAGGACCAATACCTCCAACATTCCCCACCTTATTGGTCCTAGGTGGTGTAGAGTAACAATACAAGGTTGTGACAAGACTCATCATTGCCGGGTCACCCATAATATCAACATATAAAACGGGCAAACATTTATTACGCAACCCACAGTTATCCACAATCAAAGTTCAACAAGCGTTTACAGGACAAGTTCTTCTCAGCAAAAAGACACTTGGTACCCATATCTGCGAGATTAAACTCGAGTGGGATCTTGCACAGCTTGACTCCACCTGCATCAACAATATCACGTATGAAATGGAACCTAACATCAATATGCTTAGTTCTATCATGAAATACAGGATTTTTGCAAAGTTGGATAATCGATTGGCTATCTGAGAAAATGGCAACTCCCTGTTTGAGAAACCCAATTTCGGAGACAAGGTGTTTGAGCCAGATGGATTCCTTAAACGCTTTTGTGGCTGCAACATACTCAGATTCAGTGGTAGAAAGGGCCACAATGGGCTGTAGTTGAGACTTCCAACTTATACAAGAGCTACACAAAGTAAAAACATAAGAAGTGGTCGATTTCGTGTTATCTCTATCATTAGCATATTTAGAATCAACATAACCAATCAATTCAATACCACTAGCACATTTAGAGAAAATTAATCCATGCTTCACAGAAGATATCAAATATCTAAGCAACCACTTAAGAGCATTCCAATGGGGCAAACCGGGGTTGGAGATATATCTACTCAAGCAACTAACCGCATATGCAATATCAAGTCTAGTGCTAACCATAAGATACATAACCGACTATATTGCACCGGAATAGGGCACATATTTCATTTTCTCAATTTCAGAAGCAGTCTTGGGAGACTGGTCCTTACTTAACACAAAGTGAGATGCCATAATGACATTAACAGGAGAAGCAAATAACATATTGAATTTATTCAAAACTTTTTCTATGTAAGAAATCTGATTCAAAGTAAGAGTACGCTTACCCCTATCTCTAACAATGTTTATGCCTAGGATCCTCTTGGCATCACCTAGGTCTTTCATGACAAAATTAGCACAAAGGCATTTTTGCACATCTTCAATAGCTTTCAGAGAAGGACTAATTATCAGCATGTCATTCACATAGAGTAACAAAAATACAGGCATAGAAGAAGTATTTTTGAAATACAGACAATGATCACAAATAGATTTTTGGAACTTTAAAGATATCATGCATTTATCAAATTTAATGTTCCATTGCCTAGGGGATTGCTTCAGGCCATATAATGCCTTCCTAAGCAAACAGACATGCTCACTTCTCTTGGGATCCACAAAGCCCTCAGGCCGGGTCATATAAATTGTTTTATCCAATTCACCATGCAAAAATGTTGTAGTTACATCCATTTGCTTCATTTCCCAGTCATGGTGAGCAACTAAAGCAAACATCATATGAATAGTGGTGAATTTAACAAAAGGAGCAAAGATTTCTGCATAATCTACCCCCTCTTTTTGAGTAAATCCTTTCGCAACCAACCTAGTATTAAACCTAACATCCCTAGGTTCTTCCTTAACCTTAAACAACCACTTACACTCAACTACCGAACAGTTGGGGGTCTAGGTACAAGGCTCCAAGTCTAGTTCACACTCAAAGAGTCCATCTCACTTTTCATGGCACTAATCCATTTCTGAGACTCTTTGGAACCTAAGGCTTCACGGTGGGTCTTGGGTTCAATCAGCTCTAGGAATTCAAACACAGAAAATGCAAACATAGAAGTATCATGCACAATGAAAGCATAATCAGACATACTATCAACAATTCTCTTGATGGTCCTTCTACTTCTATCTCTAGCAAGTTGATAATTATGTAAATCATCACTACTAGGATCCACATGCAACTCATGCAAATTATTGTTATCATGACTATCAGATTCAGCACCCATATCATGCAAATCATGCTCACCGTCATGCGAATGCTCTACCTCACTAGAGGTGGTGGGACTATCATGCTCAAAGGAATCAGAATCATGCATAACAATTTCATCAGTAATAACAGGATCAACAGATAAAGGACTAGCAGCAATAGGGACATACTCCACCTCACTAGGAGTACTATCAGACCTAGACTCGGGATTAGAAACAGACTTGGTCAAGCAAGGAAAATCAGTTTCATTAAACACCACATTTCTGCTAAGGACCACCTTAAAGCCTACCTGGTTCCTATCCCA